GCCTGGAAATACATATTACTGCAAAAATGTAGCATTCTCTTTTAGGTATGATTATTACAGATCTTATTTTAGTTTAACATTTGTTTCTCTATAAATTTAGTTTCAAATACTAATCATAATCATGAAAATCTTTAGCACCAAAGTCTTGGGGAATATAAACAACTTATTTACATATGTAGATGCTATTTGATATCAAGGGCTTTTAAACTCATTAATTGAGGGGTGGGTGGGGCTTAGAACACCAGCTAAGGAGCCAAGACTTCATTGAGGATTTATTCCAATTCAAGAATCATTTCTCTGTTTGACCTGGCTAACTTCAAAGCCCTCCATCCTACAGCAGTCATTACTCTGCTTTCTTTATAAGGCGTCCTCATCTTTATTTCACAGCATGGATTGCATTGACTTTTTACCAGAGAACTTGAGTAGGTATTTGTCATTCAGGTTTTCATCTGCTTTATAATTGATAGACCGTGAATATCACTTTTCTAATACTTTTACTATACTGTACCACCTCGGCCCTATTTAAGTAATGTTTTTACCTAATGTCAAATCTTTTTCCAACTAACTAAAAATAAATAAGAAAGGGTCGCTTGTAAATATGCATGTAAATAGTTGTGTTAATATTAACACTCGTTGTTCTACATTTGGTACATCCGTCTGCTTATACAGTTAGTCTTCTCACTTTCTGCTTGTTTGTTCATCTGTATTAAAGTTAGAATTTGAAAATAAAACTTAGTTTTGTTCTAAGTTTTTGAAATGGTATTTTAAAGAATTTGTTGTTAAGCTTGCTTACATGAAATAAATTAAAGGTTTAGAAGTTAGAGAAATTGTAAGATGGAGATATTCAATACTCAATTGAATAATTGAATTCAATAACAATAAATGAACCTGGGAAATTAACAAATACATTAATTTCTAGAGTCCATGTTCTAAAGAGCAAGTACATTACATAGTTGGGTGTTTTGAAATTTGTCATATCAGCACAGACTGCAGTCTTGGAACATAATAGTTAGAGCACATTAGAACAGATACCCAGAGATAACTGGGCTGCATATATTTTAGACATCTAGTGGTCATTGTGTAAACATCTAGTATTTGACCAGCAGCCTACTGTCACCAGTACTGTACTCAGTGTAACTATTAACAGAGTCTACCTGCATTATAAATTCTACATAAAAAAACTACCCAGGGTCTGGTGCTAGTTCATCTGCTTAGCATGAGGCCTTAAGTTCTCTCCCTAGAGTGAGAAGGAAGAACACCTTAGACGTGAGATCGGTGGGCTGGTGTAGACAGCTTGAGCAGCTGTGGGCTCTAATCATTGGAGCCATCTGTGGCTGTGAGGACCTAGCTAGGTCTAGACCTGGGACGTTGACCAGAATGTTGACATTTTGCAGATGGCTGCTTCTTTTCTCTTTGAACTCTCACAGCATTTTGACTGGATTCTGAGACTGAACATGCCAAAACAGGAAGAAGCTGCATTAAGAAGCCATGTAGCCGTATTTATTTTCTTGGTTCTAAGTTTGTAACCATATCATGAGTTGGTCCTATGTTACATTGTCTTGTAGAGTGCATGTCTTCACCAGGAACAAGTACGGACTCCTCATAGAAATAGAAATACAGTGCTTTCCAGTGAGCATAGGCATTGGTGTCAGTAATGTCAGTCATGAGTTGTGACAGCAGAGCAAATATTGGTCTTAACCAGTTATCAACTTTGGCACAGTTCTAGCACAAAGGCAAGAACATACTATATCTCAGTAGCCTGGATTTGTCACCATGATGGAGAATATATTCTCTGGGGAACCATAGGGCTTATCTACAAGAGGGTGCTAGAATTTAAAATCGGACTTAGTCTTTGGGTAATGCTGTAGGCATTCCACTGAATCTTAGCTGCAGCTAGGACACAAGTGTAGACTTTTTTGTTATTAAAAGGGGGGTCCTATTTAAATGAGAGGAGGGTGTTTGGTAGGATTATAGAAAACCTGTTATAGCCAAGAGTCAGCTCAAACGAAAAGGAAAAAAGCCCCTTTCCTATCAGGTTCTGAGGGTGGGCACACAAAGCCAGCTGCAAGTTAACAGAACACATTTTTCCAGAGTCTTCGAGCAGCTGTAAAGTACACTGTGACACTCACCTTGTGGCTGGAACCATAGCTTTGTTTCCAGCGCTCTGCTAGTCTATTACTGGAGAGACCCAGTTCCTAAACTCCTGTTTCATGGCAGCACTCAAGTTCTGTTCCTTCTATTGCTGCAGAAACAGCCTCTCCCTACAAACTGGTCTCCCTTCCCTTAGGACCTCTGAAGAATCTTTCATCAGGAACTCGAAGTTTACTAAATGATGCCTTTATGGGGGATACCCTTCCAATTTTGCCAACAAACAGGCTTGAGCCTGGTGGTCTTTAACCTTTGGCAGATGCTGCTGCCCTGTGATGTTAGCCTAGTAAAAATGAACCCTGTAAGTTCAACACAGCATTTAGAAGTCATGCCGCTAGAAGCCGTGGTTCTGGCAGACCTGTGCCAATGTAAATCAGAATCACCACTGTCACTGCGACTGGCTGTACTGCTAGTGATTATTGTGTTCCCTGTCCGATTTTAATTGCTTCATTCTTCCTCTAATCTTTCATTACCTAATTAGTTGCTTTACAGATGTACACAAATATGTCCGTGTCCACTTTTATCTTCTCTTCCTCCACAGGAAGCACCCTTCCTAAGTGTTCCTGCCTCTTTCATGAATTCTGTTGTTATGGTTGGTGGGGTTTCTTATTTTGCCTTTTCTTTCTTTTAATCTGGCTTTTGTGTTCGTGAGCTGCTCCCCATGTCATTCTTACTAAATAAAAAATAAAATCTGACTACCTAATTTTTATTGTCCCAGAGTCCTATAGTCTGTCTTCTCAAGTGGCCCATATTTATCCCTTTCCTTGTCAGCTATCTATTCTTCAAATCCTTTCCTGCTATATGCAATGATTCTCACTGAAATCACCAATGACCCTGGTCCCTGCCTCACTAAACCTAATAGATCTTTGTTTCAGCTTTCTCTCTGGCAATACTAACAAAATTAAAAACATCTAGGAATCTAAGACACAATAATTTGCTTTCTCTGTGCTCTTCTGCAGTGCTTTTGTGGGCTCTTTACCTGTTTTAATTTTTAAAAAAAAATTTTGTATGTATGGATTCTTTGCTTGCATGGACCAGTGTGTCCCTGGTACCCAGGGAGGCCAGAATAGAGTCTGATTCCCTGAAGTGGAGTTATAGAAGTTGCTGGGAATTGAACTCAAGTCCTCTAGAAGAGGAGCCAGTGCTCTCAACTGCTGAGCCATCTTTCCAGTCCCCTTAACTTTTTAATATCACATTCTTTGTTTCATTATTTTAAGTCTTCACCTAGCGTGTAAACGGACGTTGCTCTCCAGGCAAATCTAGTTACAATTTTCACCAAGTGAACTCAAAAAATTTAAGTTTAATTCAAACTTTTCCTGAATTCTTTATCATTTCTGCCACCTTCCCGCTTGCCCAAACCAGAAATTTGGGCAATCTTAAGAGTCTTACTGTTAAGTTCCAGGTCTAGTAATTCCCCAGAATATAATTATCAGAATAATTGCTGGGGCTGCTGTCTCCTTAGTGCTGAGAACCTACAGTCTATCTCATTATTTGTTCACAAGCCTTCTGCTGAGCTCTTCATGTCCTTGCCCACAATTCCATTCTCCATCAGCAAGTCCAGAAATCTTTCAAAATTTCATGAAATTTCTTGTAGAAATTTCACTCAGGTCTCGAACATTGGAAGGACAACAACAGGCAGGGGTGGAAAACTGCAATGTATAACGTAATGTGGCAGATCATTAGAAAGAAAACTTACCTATTCAAGGATGCCTTTACATAAGATTGGAATCAATTTGCTTATCAGTATTTTTTTCAAATGATGGTTAAGATTTTTTTTCCCAGTCCCTTGATGCCATCTTTGCTTAAAGCCCTTATACTAAACAAGTATACCAAATAAAACTTAAAAAAAAAATGTTACCTAGATAACATTCTTAATAATTTAGGATCAGAAAATTCCCTCAAGTCTGGCTCCATTCTTAGTGATCTGGTTCCAATGCTTCCTGCCTCCTTCCTCACTAACCATGCTTCAGCCTCTGTAAAGGAAATCATCTTTCCCTTGGACTGCTCATACTTAGCAAGCACCTATTTAAAACTCTAAACTTTGAGGTGTGGCCATATGGGTTATGCTCATGTAGAGAGATTTGCCCCCCACCCCCCTTGCTCTGAACTCATGGTCATATTGGAGGCCGTAAAGCAGCCCACGAAGGTCTGCTTTACTACCAAGAGCTGTCTGGATTGTTGTGGACACTGTCTACAATCTGGAGGCCAGACTTTCTGTTGGCGATAAATGAGAAAAAAGTAATTGTTGCGGGGTTGGGAGTTGGTGGGTGGAGATCACGGCCAGCTGGTCTACAGAGCGCGTTCGAGGATACTCTGGGCTGCACCAAGAAATCCTGTCTCAATAAACACAAACCCTTCAGGTTTCAGTGGAAATATTTTTCTAAGTCTGCTATATGCGCTTATAGAGAGCTGTGGGTTTTTTAATCTTAGGAACACCCATAATTAATCAAATCATTATTTTGTCTTCCCAGCCACTCTCCAATCCACATCCTGACTTCAGTGAATTGGGCTAATCCGTTTGTACACGTCTAAAGGCGATAAAATAGGAATTAGAAAACATTTTCTGGCACTTCTTAAAACAAGTAGTCTCGATATTTTCTACTACTTTTTTAAGAATTTAATCACTCCGCTAAAACCCATCCTTGAGTTAGTGGTTGCCTGGTATGGGAGAAGAGTGGTCCACAAACCTAATTCCAATCGATCTTCAATTTCCTCAGAGGACCTGAACTCCCAATAAGTGGATACCAGAGTCCGACCCGGAAATACCCGTCCTCTTCCGGTCCTGCTCTTTGTTGCGAGAGGCGGGACTTCCGATCTCACTTTTTCCGTAGGCGGCGCTTTCTTCTCGGTGCGGGAGGTTCAAACTGCTACCTCTCTGTTTTGTGTTTCCTTTCCGTCGTCCGGCTCGCCGCTGCTGCCTCAGCCGCCGGGACTTGAACGGAAGTCTCAGTCGAAACACTTCTTGCGCAGATGAGATTATTTTCTTTCATCAAGAAGTATCACTCAATAGTTACTAGCTGACGGAAGTAACCCCGGAGAAGCAGTCGCGAACGATACGGTTTCTGCCATTTGAACAAAACAGAGGTCGGTCAGAGGCCTTGGCTGCTCTCCCCTCGATGTGGAAAACAACTTCCCAACCCAGAACTGCCGCGTGAGTGTCAGAGGTTTGGCGGCGGTCTTGATGAGAGCGTGTACCCGCCCCTTTCTCTTTCCCCGGGTAACTAGACTCTATTTTGAAAAGCGAGGTTTCAACATGCAGAACAGACAAGGTTTTCCAGTTCGTCATACCAGACATAATGTGTTGAATGATGGGAATACAAACAAGAAGAAAACAATGCAGAGGAGGCCAAAAATCCGTAATCTGTTGTAGCGCCAAGAACTTTTAAACACTACACTCTCTTGTGTGTATACTCGATTATTTAAATAATAACTTCAGTAAAGTTGCTATATGGGAGGTACAAAGATAGGGATTCCATTTCCCAGTCTGGTATCAGGAAAGAGACTCTTTCAACTATGTGTCAGCACCTGTTTTCTCTTAAAATACCAGACATGCGTGTATGCACATATATATCTCCACCTCTTGTCATGGTGTTTGTTTATTGACATTGAGTAAATATGTAAACAAGTAATGTAAAGGAGTTAGTGTGGTCCGACTTCTGGAACGTTAACTGTGACAGGAATAGAAAGAGAAAAACAGGAGAAAGGTCTTAACTATAGGAATTGACAGATGAGCTTCCAACAAAAGGAGGTAAAGGGCCAAATTCAAGCAAGATTTTAAAAGAATCAATAGAAAACTAGTTACAGGAAGACAGCATCAAGAAGTCAGTGTCGTTAACTCATATGGCAAACTCAAGGGTAAGAATTTAAACATTCATTCTTTTATTATTAGTTGTTGAAAGTGGTTTTGCCTGACATCACTCTTCGCCTAATACCATCCCAGTGATACATTTGTGAATAAGGCAAATGAGGTCCTTTCTGTTTGAGGGTCTATCCTGGTGGGCGAAAACAGACAAATAATTTCCATACTGATAAGGTCTGTGAGGACAAAAGGTAAACCGGGATAAGAATGTGTAAAGCAGTTTAGCTCAGGTGATAACGCGGGCCTCTGTGCGGAGGTGTTTGTGCTGAGGTGGTGATGCTGACAAGGACTCTCGTGCATTAGTTAAGCCAAGGAGAAGGCGAGCTGGACAGGAAGAACGGTGCGAAGATTTTTGAGATGGACAATGCCTTGTTTCAAGAACATTTTTATAAAGCCGATATTATTAAAGTGACCTGAACAAGGGAGTTAGGGAGGGGCGTTTGGAGACAATGGGGACTCGATTGTGTGGCCGCTGCAAGCTCTAGTGTAAGAATATAGATCTGATTCTGTGGACAGATGGATAGGGTTGATAGGGTTCAGCTAAAGAACGACTTTAGGGGATGTTACAGAAGCCTGTGTTCGGTGGGAGTGCCTTTGTTCTAGTCCAGTCAGATTCCATTTTATCTGTGGTACAAAGACATACAAGTCTGTGCTGTTAACTAACTGAAATCTCTGAAAGGAATGGGGTAGATTTAGAAATTCTTTAGAGAAAGAAAATAATGAAAACTATGTGAATCTTAGTAAGAGACAGCACATGGTCAAGCCATTTGTTTGCATACAAGCACACTCCACATGTTAGCCTGTGTTGTGCATAGCTCACTGCGTATCTTAAAAACGAAACCAAAAGATGAGGCTAAAAAGTAGCAACTGTTATTAAACTAAGGTGTTGAAGCTCTGATTAGGTAACAGATAAGAATGATGAAAGTAAAAACAGAAGTAGAAGCAGAGCGGAAACCCTTACTATTCCAAAATGGGGTTAGGGGTAGGAGAAAGGGAGGAGTTTGGAAGAGGGGACAATGTACGACTGTGTCACAGATTGACTGCATCTAGGAGAAGGACCGAAGACATTGGGTGTACAAAAACGTTGGTGGCCGTTATGAAACAAGGCCAGGGGAAAAGTAGAGGGGAAAGTTGGGTTGTAATAGAATGAAGATTAGCAAGAGACTATGGCAGTGAGGGGTTTCTGTACTTCAGAGGTTTATTGATAGGGAATGGCCTTAAGCTTGGGAAGTCTTATCTCTGCATAGTCGTTTGTTGTTTTTGACAGATGAGACTTGAGCCCTTTAGTAGAAGGAGAGGGTAATATAGAAGAAAGTGGGGTTCGTGTTAGAAAAAAATTAACATTTCCTAAGATTTGTTGAACCCTTACAAGGTGACTTGGATAGTGCTGGGTGCTGTCATCACTATTTTGTCTCTTAAACCTACCGCAGTTCTGTACCCCTCTCTTTCACAAATGAGCAGACATCCCTGGCATCTGCCTAGCACATAGTGGAGTATAAAAGAAGCCGCACCTCCCCTTTGCCCCACACAGGTATGGAGAACAGTGAAAACAGTCATTTTGGAGGTAAGAAATAGAATTTAAGAAGTGAGAAATTCAAGACACTCTACTAACTGCTTCCGTAACTCCAGACTGGGGAGCAATAAATTGTGGTATTTGCATTTCTTCAAAGGTCTTTTTTCCTTAGACTTGCTCGTTACTTTTGGCCTGTCTTTTGCATGTGCTAGAACTGATTTTCTGTATTACTTTCTTTTTATTTGTTGTTGTTGCTTGTATGTGTTATGATGTGTGAGTGCAGGCATGCACATGCTTGCCGCAACTTTGTTCTCGCTTTCCATGGTGGATTCCAGGGATACGACTCCGTTCCTCAGGCCTGCAAGGCAAGCACCTTCACGTGCTGAGCTGTCACGCCCGCCCAGATTGCTACAAGTGTAATTAATTGGTTTATCTGCAATGAGATCCTGAGCATACAATATACAAAACTCAACTTGAGAAACAGTAAAGCCAGAAAACTTAGCAGGACATTTGTAACTCTGTGAACTGTCTTCTCCTTCCAGGTTATGTTCTTAACAGTGGAGTGAAGCCGTAGGGGTTACTCAAAGCATTTAAGGAAGATCATTTTAGATAACCGAGGTAAGACCACTGCTCTTCCACCAAGAGTGTGCACAGTTGGTGTCCTTGTGTGTTGTCCCTGCGTTCTTAGGAAATGCATGTGTTTAGCTTGGCACAACTCTTGAGCACTCAGAGAACTGCGTGTGCTACCTTGGTCCCATTTCCTCAGGTCTGTGCCGAAGTGTGGCAGAGCCGGGCGTAGAAATGGCAGCGGAAGTACGAATGGTGCTCTATGAGGACGACTCAGTGCACGTGCAGTATGCGGACGGCTCCACACTGCAGCTCTCTCCTTGTGGCTCGGAGTTTCTGTTTGAAAAGGCGCCTGCTCTTTCTACACACCCTTTAGAACAGCCAGAGCGGATTCGTCAGCGGACACACTTTGTCATTAGCACCTACCGAGTAAGTCCTAGCACAAAGGGACTGCCGAAGCTGCTAGAATAGGAAAGGTAACTAGGATTCTGGACCTTGACCATTCTGAACTGATTTTCGGATAATTTTCTATTTCTTTCTCTAGGAGCAGCTACAGCGAGCCCTGGATTTTCGAAACTCTTCGGCTACACGCCCCTTTTTATCTGAAAGCCTCATACCTCCTGAGAGAAAGAAGGTGATGTTTTAAAACCACATTTTTATGACTAATATTTAGTACAGGTTAGTTGTAGAGAGTTGGCTTAGCACTTGGAAATGGGCACACGCTGTAGAATGTACAGTCCGATATGCTGCACCAGACCAAGGGCTATGGAAGTGGCACATTTCAACTCCTTGACATTTTCTTTATAGCATTTCTTTATGTGTGTGTGTGTGTGTGTGTATGTATATATGTATATATAATTTTATATTGGTATTTTGCTTGCATATATTTCCATATGAAAGTGTCAGATCTTGGTATTACAGACAGTTGTGAGCTGCCATGTAGGTGCTGGGAATTGAACCCAGGTCCTCTGGGAGAGCACTCGCTTTGCTTTTAACCTCTGAACCATCTCTCCAGCCCGGATTGTAGCATTTCATATCATGACTTTTTTTATTCTCATATGCCTCAACATTAAGAAATTTCATACATGAACTTTAGTTAATTGTGTGTGGTTGCTGATGTGTAATAGGATATGAGCCTAGTTTACTTTTCCCATGCTTTGATAAAACACTGACCAAAAGCAACTTGGGGAGCAAAGGATTTATTTCAGTTAGTAAGTAAGTCCATCATTCGGGGAAGCCCAGGGAGGAGCTAAAGCAGAGACCATGAGGAACACTCTGACTGGCTTGCTGTCTCTGGCTCACTTAGCTCCCTGTTTGGCAGTCCAGGCCCCCTTGCCCAGGGGTGGTAGTGCCTGCAGTGGGACGAGCTTTCCTGCATGACTGAGTAACCGAGAAAAGGCCCCACAGACTGGTATATGGAGGTGTTCCCTCAGTTCTGTCTTTCCACATGACTCAAGTTTGTGTTAAAAATTAAGACCTAGCCAGTATAATTTGTAATTATGTATAAGTATACAAATTTTGCTCTTGTATATATCTTTTGATTTTGAGGGATAATGGCATATAGACTAGGAACTAAAGGCAATTTTTTTTTTTTTTTGAGACAGGGTTTCTCTGTGTAGCTTTGAAGCCTTCCATGGAACTCATTCTGTAGAATAGGTTGGCATCAAATTCACAGAGTCCTGCCTCTGTCTCCTAAATGCTGGGAGTAAAGGTGTGTACTACCACTGCCCAAAACATACTTAAAGGCTGAGGCAAGAGTGTTAGCATTCAGGCATCTGTGCTGGCTTGCCCTTGGAGCGCTGACAGGAAACCTCCTCAGCTGCAGCCACTAAGAAGGCCTCCTGTGCACGTTCACTGTGTTCCTGCCTGTCTTCCTCCCTCCTTCCCTCCTCTTCCAATAACCCTCCCTTATGGCATGACTCCCTTCCTGCCATTTTTTAAAATTAGAACAAAGAGGATCACTTGACCTCCTAAATTTGAGACTAACGTGGGCACTGTAGTTAGATCCTATCTCCAACACACCAGAACTTCAGTGGTACCAGTGTGGCATGGGTAGCTGCTGGGATTTCCTGAGTTACCAGCTCCGGTATAGGCTATGTTTCAGAGTTTTTCTGATTTAATTTGTGAAATTTTTCAAAGTGGGGAAGTTGGGACTTGAGCCTAGTCTCGATGACTCTTGGTAGTAGGGCGTTAGCCCAGGACTTCACAGGTGGCAGGCAGGCAGGCATTTCACACCGAGCCACACCCTCAGCCCAGCTGTGCCTGTTCATTGCTTCCCAAGGCTCTCTCGCCTCATGCTGTGCTGTGGCTGTGTTTGTCTTATATCTGTGCATTACTATGCCAAGATGCCTGCAATAGACAGCTCAAAGGTTGACTGTTTCAGAGGTCTTAGCTCATGGGCACTCGGCCCTAGCGCTGCTGGCTTGTATTGAAGCAGAGCATTGTGGTGGGGAATGTAGGCAGAAACAAAACCTAGCAGCCAGAAAGTAGAGGAATGAGAGACCCACTTTCTCCAGCCAGACCTAGCATAGCCCACTCATCTGTAAACTCATGAATGGATTAATCCTTGAGGAAGTTAGTGCCTTCCTCACCTCTCAGCAGTGCCACCAACTGGAGACCACACCGGAGCCTCTGTGAAGGACACGTCATATCCAAACCTTAGCAGGCAGGGGGCTGTAAAGAGCTGCAAGCTATAACTTATTCCAGGGGATCTTTCTCCAGTATCTTTTGAATAACTGCGCCATTAAAATGGTGTCATTTGCTGCTGATGCTGCAGTGTAGTCACAGACTATGGGCTTTCAAGATTTGATAAAGATGGAAGTTGAAATGTTGACCATATACAATAATTGATCAAATTTTGTTATGTACAGTACTGTTGATTTCTTGTATGAAAAAGCTGATAGAGACTGTTAGTTATTTGCGTCTGCTGTTTCCTAGGGTCAGTTTACATTTGAATTTTTGAATTGTTTTAAATTATTTTAAAAGCCACCTAGAATTAATTTCAGCTAATGTTGTGCTAGACACCTTCTAGGACAGGGACTTCATGTTACATTTGGTTCATCTGGTGATACAGCACTTCCCAAATGCTGTCTGGTAATTCCAATACCACTTTAAAAAGTAATTCTCACCTTTCTCCTATCTCATGTGACATTTTAAAGTATTGAATTTATTTCTGTGTTATCTGTGTTGTTTTCCCAATGACTTCTACAGTACTTCCACACCATGTAAGCTCCAGTTGCTTCTGTATAGCACGCCACAGCCTTGGTTCCCTTTCATGTCTGTCCTTTTTCAGATTAGAGTTTTGGGATGAGTGGTCTATACATCCAGCTCTCCCTAAATCATTGAATATTTTTAGTCAAAGTAAGTTTAGCACTAATTAGATAGTATCTACATCTTTCTTTCTCCCCCCGCCCCCGTCCCGTCTTGTGTGTGTGTGTGTGTGTGTGTGTGTGTGTGTGTGTGTGTGTGTTTTTCCAAGAGAAATATTAGCATCCAGTATTATCTGTAAAGCCGTATATTAACTCCAGTTTTTATTTTCTAGGTAGTAAAAACACAAGTATATTAAATTCTTATAAAGTACTTTTAATATCAAAACTACGGGAAAAATGAACACTAACAGAAAATATGGGGTTTTTATTTTCTTCTCTCAATTCAGCATATCTTCATTGATTTCTTTGAAGTAAAATGGCCCAGTCTTGCTGGAGACGACAGCATCACATATTCAGAGAGTGGCGCTGTAAAGATAACGTCACTGGATGGACGTGCATACCTTTGCCTGCCCAGATCTCAGCATGAATTTACAGTCCATTTTTTGTGTAAAGTGAGCCAGAAGCCGGACTCATCTGTAGTACTCCCTGAGACAAATAATCAGGTCCCAAAAGATAAACTAGTTGAAAAGACCAGAAAATTCTGCACGTGTGGAAGTTTATCAGGACAAAGATTAAAGAATAAAGAAAATGAACTTCATCACCAAGTCTTGAAATCTAAAGCAGCTTCAGCAAGCATATGTTGTGTGAATGGAACTGAGGAGAAGGAGGAGCTGCTGTCCCCGAGTACAAGGCACAGATGTGTGTACGCGTGGATGAAGCAGTGTTGGTCTGTTGCCTCCTGTCCGGAGCAGTGGAAATATCCTCTGTCTTTAGCGCTTCGTTTTCATAACAAAGTTAGCGTAGCGTCTGAAACTGGTGCAGATTTCCCTTCAAATGGAAGCATAACTTGTGACGCTGCAGAAGAAAGTGGAAAAGAGGTTTCTGTCCTTCCCAGAGCCCTGCTCCTCAGCTGCCCTGCCCCACACATGCACAGGTACTGCAGGGATGGCTTATTGCTGAGAAAGGTTGGGGAGAGCCCTTTTTTACCTGATCTTAGCTTTTAAATCAGCTGATACTGCTCTGGTTGGTTGGTTGGTTTTGGTTTTGGATTTTTTGAGACGAGGTCTCACTATGTAACCTGGGCTGGCCTTAAAACTCTCTGTATACCAGGCTGGCCTCTAACTCATAGAAACCCCTGTCCCTGCCTCTCAAAAGTACTGGGATTAAAGGCATGAGCCACCATACCCAGCCACATCTGTTATTATTCTTACTCTCATCTGATTGGCTAAAATCTTTTATTTTAAAGGATAATATTCATAGCAATATAGGGTGTCTAATGAAGGTCACTGTCCCTAAAAGAATTTTTAAAGTACAGAAGAACAGGGCTCTTTGGGAGAAAGCCTAGAAGGGAGTCTATGACCCTCAGGCTAGACCTGTGACCCCACAGGCTAGGCCATAGACCTGCCCATGACACCACAGGCTAGACCCTGGACCTGCCCATAAACCTGACTAAGTTTTGGTTACAGATTTTTTTCTTTGCTATCAGTCCCAAGGGCTCCCCATTTTTTAGTTAACTGGCAAATGTGTCCTTTTTCAAAAGGGTTCAATTTATGGAGACCCTTTCATGGCTAGGTCAAAAATTTAACTTTCATTCAAAGATGAATAATAGTTAAAAATTTGCAATGTGAACTTCTTATGAGTATTCTAGCAATTTTAAAAAAACTAACATTTATAAAGTACTTAAGTGAGACTGTTCTATTTTATGTATTTGGTATAGGAACCCTGTTTACAAGAGTCACTATAATCCTTTCATAGAGGAACCTAAGATCCAGAAATGGTAAAGAACTCAAGCAAGTTACATCACTAGCACCTGTAGAATTGAAATTTGCTCCTAGGTCTTCTCTGAGTACACATTTTTACCTAAAATTTAGGAATAGCTTTTGAGCTTGCCATAATTATCTAGTTAAAACTGGAAATTCCAGGATTCTAAATCTGTGACGGAAGAGGTTTTATGCTTCTAAATTAAGTATGTCTTTGACTGGATTTAGTTTGAAATCCATTTCCTTATCCTGGCATAGCAGGCTTTCATGATCTGATGGCTTCCTTCGCTGTGGTCCTCACGCCTGACATCGCTGTGTCCTTGCTGTCCCTGTGCCTGCTGAAGTGTCCTCACCATTGCTGGGTGCTCACGCGGACTCCCTTTCGCTCCTGCCCCAGCTCCTGCTCTTTGCTCCAGCAGAAGCTCTGTCCTCCTCACCACCGTCTCTTTCCCTTGTCCCAGCCCAAGCCTGACTTCCTTGGAGCGGTTTCTGGTTTCTCAGAGTCTGTTGATAAGCTAGGTCTTTATTCACGTCCATAGCACTCATTGACTCCCCCACCCCCACCCGACTTGGTGATTTCTGCTTCACTACACTGCCGGATGGAGCATCTCCACTGGTGACAGGAAACATATCTCCTTTGGGGGACATTAAATTCTCAGTGTGTACAGCATTACGCCCGGCCTACCATAGATATTTCAGTAAAGATTTGTTGTTTGAATTCAGGTTAATTTTAAAGATTAGTGAAAAATTTTAATTTACATTATACTGAGATCCATTAATGAGGTTACTGAGAATTAATGAAAAGATACATGACAAAATAAGACTTGTTTTAAAATTTCTCTAATGTACGTGTGTGTGTGTGTGTGTGTGTGTGTGTGTGTGTGTGTGTGTAAGCATGCATATACATTATATAGTTAGGCAAGGAATAAGCATTATGGTGGCACTGTTTGTTGACTTTTAATGGCAATTATTTTTGAGCAACCAGAATTAATGCTCCAGTTTTCTCTTTCACAGGTGGAACTTCTGTGACTCACTTTTGCAGAGACAGTCTGACGGAGAAGACTATTCCTATCCTGAGCTCGTGAAGGTGGTGTGGTGCAAGGGTGTGACGTACAGGTGAGGTCCTGGGGTGTGGTGTAGGGTGTGACGTACAGGTGGGCTCCTGTGGTGTGGTGTAGGGTGTGACGTACAGGTGAGCTCCTGCGGTGTGGTGCAAGGGTGTGACGTACAGGTGAGGTCCTATGCTGTAGGGTGTTATATACAGGTGAGGTTCCTATGGTGTAGGGTGTTATATACAGGTGAGGCTTATATGGCATCTCCAATGCCATTGAAAGTCAGTCTTGCTGGTGAATGTATGTTTGTAGCAGGGACTTAGGGTATCCTTCTAGACAAGAATGTCTGGTTGTATTACCTGGTAAGCATGGAATCCGCCTAAGGATGATTCAGTCAAAGGAAATCATTCCTTTCGTGGCTGTTCTGCACCTACACTTCCCTACTGAATTTTCTCTCCCCCACCACAGAGTTACTGTCTAATGACTGAAATACAGTGTTAGCCAGATTCATCCATGAATAATAGTAGAAAATGATACTATTTTGGTTACAAGAAGGCTTTCCCTTTTCTGTATGAGGACCCACCCACTTCTGACAGCATAAGTTTTAAATTGTATTTATTTTTTCCTGGGGGTGGCAACACATGTGTGTGCTTTAGCATGCATGTAGAGGTCAGAGGACAACCTTCCCATGTCCGTTCCCCTCTTCCATCATGTGTCCCAGGGATTGAACTCAGGGCATCAGGCTTGACAGCAAGTGACGTTACCTCTTGCTACCCCCAACACCATATAAAGATCTGTTCCAATGAAAGTAATTTCCACGAAGTATGTACCGGATGCTTTGGTTATACCTGACTGCTACATATATAATACGTCTTACTTGGATAGTTAATCTTATCCATCAGGTACACCAATTGTTTTTGTTGAAGAGTGATCTTATCTTCAGGACCTAAGTGTGGTATTCAGCTTCTGTGCATTGATATTGTTTGGTGACTTGTTATATGTCAATCCCTATGTTGGTACTGGGTATGTAAAGACAAGATTCTCTGAATTCTAGAAACTCTGAGCTTAGTTGTTGAAATAAGCATATAAGGCACTTTTGTGTGTCCTATTTCTCTTTGGCTCAGCATTACCATGTCTCTGTTTTTGTTGTTGTCTTAATGATTGCTTTCTTGGATGCATTAGTCTTCATTTTAAAAAAATATGATTATTTCTCTATTTTAGGCTTACCCATAAAAATGTAAACTCAATAGAGATTTATCCTGGAGATGGATCAGTTTTCAAATCAGAAGGGCCTTATTTTGGTAACTATTTTACATATTACTCAAGTCAAGAAGAATCAGAAAAGGTAAGCTAACAATGAAGTTCAAGTTTTGATAAAATGTTCTTTCCTAAGTCTATATATATATATATATAATTTGATGTTTTATGTAACATCTCACTCCTCACCATGACAAATTAATATAATCTTACTGTCAGCATTGACACCTGGTGAATTATTAATCACTTTGTTTTTACTGTAGTTATACCCACTGTTACCCATTAACACCCTAAACAGTTTGTTTAAATCAGAAGCTAAATTTGTGTCATAGAATTTGTCCATAAAAACCTCTAAAGCCCAGAGCATTACTTTTGAGTCACTATATTACTTTCAATTAATATTTACAAAGTAGAAAGCATGTATTGGGGACTAGGTAGATGGTTCTGTGGGTAAAATGTTGGCCATACGAGCAAGAATGAGGACCTGAGTTGAGATCCCCATGGCACACATAAAAGGTGGACAATAGCATGTATACCTCCTACCCCCCACCAGAAAGGCACCATAAGAATACCATTAAAATATGTAGGTTTTATGGGCTTTAGAGTATTAAAATAATTGCTTGCTTTGTTGGTGTGTGTGTGTGTGTGTGTGTGTGTGTGTATCAAGGAAAAATAGTTAAGTACTAAGAACCAGATTTTTGTGTTTTACACTTTCAGAGAGAAGAAAAAACTTATTTCATAAATAACCTTCCTCCAGACAGACCAGGAAGTCTCTTCTCTGTACGTTCTCTGATTAAACAGGCAACCAGGTGAGTTGGTGATGTTCAGCTGAGAGAAAAGCGTGCATCTGAGTACCTCGATGTGTTTCTTTTGTTAAGGTTAGGATGCAGTGGGTACGATTTGTCTTTGCCACAAATCTGTCAGGTTTTCTGGTCTCATAATTTAAAAAGTAATCCGTGTCATTACAAGAGTATTAGTCTAGATAAACTTTCACACAGGAAGTGAGCGAGTCCTGAGAGGGACTCAAGTGCTGTTTCTCGGGACAAGTGTGGCAGCCCTTAATTGCTTTAATCAAGTTGGGGATTTGAGGAAACATTTGAAATTTTCCCAGTTTCTTATTTTCACAGTAATCAAGTTTTATGAGAGTGTCCTAAAGATAAAATGTGGATTGGTTCATTATTTCACCTTTTTAGAAATTGTTTTGATTGCCAGGTGATGGTGGCACACGCCTTTAATCCCAGCAGTAAGGGAGGCACAGGCAGGCAGATCTCTGTGAGTTTGAGACCAGCCTGGTCTACAGAGCGAGTTCCAGGACAGACAGAGATAATCAGAGAAACCCTGTCCCAAAAAGCTAAAAAATAAAAAGTTGTTTTAATTAATCTATAGCACCCAGAAAAATGAAAATGCAATGTTGAATTAAATAATTGTTTTTAATGAAAGTATCTGTAAACAATTTCCAGGATAGATTAGCAGGCTCAGAAAGTATTTGACTTTCTATACATAGTTACCTGCTTTCTTTGCCATCTTTAGACTTTGCTAAACCTCTTAGATATGTGACTATCACCTCTTTAGAACATCTGGGCAGCAAGAAGGCTCAACTGAGGAAGGTGCTTGCTATGCGGGCCAAGTAGCCTGAGCTTGACCTCTTAAGCCACATAAAGGTGCAAAGATGTCCTCTGACCTTTACACACATGCCATGGCACACATGAGTGCACAGACACCACAAATAACTAATTAATTTAAACAGTTTTAAAGAAGCCCCTGAAATTATCCATGGAGTTCTTTTGTTGCTGGAAGGTCAAGGAGTAGCTTTAGCTAGCCAAGAGAGGGCAGAGGAAAAAGAACTTTCTAGGAAGTGTTACGTTTCTAGGAAGGCGAGTTGCCACAGTCACCTGAACTGTTACATGGCATTCAGGATGTTGCTGAGACATTGCACCACTGTTCCAGGTGTTAGAAAACATAGAAAAATGTCATCATTTACAAACACTTAGGGGCTGTTTTTTGTGTTCACAGAATTCTTCAACACTGTGCCAAGACGAGGCTTTCACTAAGCCACAACTATCATGTCTGCTGCTGGAAAATGGTATGGGAAAGCAAGACAGTTAGATGTTTGGATACATGCTTCCACATTCAAACTGCTTTCAGCTAAGTCATGTGAGAAATTCTTTTTGACATTCAAAATTTTGTTCATTCAAGAGAATACCTACCTTGAACCAGCTGTGGTGGCATACACCTTCAGTCCTATCACTCAGGAGTCAGAGGCAAGCAGATCTCTGAGTTCAAGGCCAGTCTGCTTTACAGAGTGAGTTCCAGAACAACCAGGGCTACGCAGAGAAACCCTATCTTAGTTAGGGTTTCTGTTGCTGTGATGAAACTCCATAACCAAAAGCAACTTGGGGAGGAAAGGGTTTATTTCACTCACAGTTCCCTATAACAGTTCATTATCAAAAGCTGTGAGGGCATGAACTGATGCAGAGGCCATGGAAGGGTGCTGCCTACTGACTTGTTCATCATGGATTGCTCAGCCTGCTTTCTTATACTGTCCAGGACTACCTGCCCACAATGGGCTGGGCCCATCATCATTAATTAAGAGAATGCAGATCTTATAAAGGCGTTTTTCTCAACTGAGGCTCCTCCTGTCTGATCACTCACTCATGTCAAGTTGACATAAAACCAGTCAGCACAAGCCCTGTCTCAGAAAACTTCAAGAGAAATATCTGCCTCATAGACAGACTGGAAAATCAGCCTTTTTTTTTTTTTTAAACTGAAGACATTGCACATACTGGGCAGATACTTTCTGCCACCTAGGCATACCCCTTGCCCCTATGTTTTAGTGTATGTAATCCCCTACCCCTCACCCCATGCTGGGATTCAAACCTGGGCTTAGAGCATGCCGAGCACACACTCTCATCACAAAGCTCTACTAGCCCCTTTTTATTTTTCAACTTTTTGATGCAGAATATAGTCCTGACTGGCCCTAGCTAGCCCAGGCTAGCTTCAAACTGGACATCCTCCTGCCTCAGCCTGCCAAGTGCTGAGATTACAGATGTGTGTAAGCCACCATGTCCAGCTGATTGATCGTTTGCTTCTTTGTTTACTGGAGGAGAGATGGGAACTGATTGAATCTGAGTATGTCACAGCATTGTCATTACAGACCCTGATAGTATCGTATTTTAGTTTGATGAGTGTAAAAGTCAATTTATTAATCCTAGCTTAGAGGAAGTGATTTTCAGACATTGATTTCGGGATCCATACTCATTTGATTGTAAATTTATATGCTGTTATAATTCACAGTTTTTGCCTAAATTAAGTTCATAGCAGGATGGTAGCCTCCAGAGAGGTATTAGAACTTAATCTTAATAGGTAAACAATTTTGTATGTGTAATTTTTTAAAAGTTAAAGTATAGATAAGAATTCTGTAGCACTCAACTTCTGAATAAGAATCTTGAGTTGCTTCAGAGTTCATTAACAATTACTTTAATCTTTTTCAAAGAAAACTCCTGCCTTGTGCTCTTATTTCCTTGGTTTTAGGTAGCTGAAGTAAATGCTGACAATCCCCTGCCCGTGCTTCTGAAGGAGTCTCTCGTACCCAGTGTGGGGAGATTTCTTGCCTACTCTGATGACAAAGTTCACGCTGTCTTTTTAGATGGCGTCACTCTAACACTGAATTGGAATTTCAGCTCCTGTGCTGAAAACAGAGAAGTGAGTATACCTAGGACCAGCGGTTCTCAACCTTCCTAATGCTATGGCAGTTCCTCATGTCGTGGTGACCCCAATCATAAAATACTGCTGTTGCTACTGTTAGGAATTGTAATGTAGATATTTGATATGAGGGATATCTGATATGTGAACCCTGAGAGCTGCTGTCATTTGTAATGCTCGGTAAAATCTGCTGTAGCATTTGTAATTGTTCCATATGAGATACCATTCTGATCTTAGATACTTGTGTATATTATATACTATTATTATCAGGATAAACATTATCTCCTCATATATCATTTCTTTGTGATTCAAGATGCTATCTTCTAGGTTTTTTCAATGCATAATACATTATCCTTAAAAGTCTGATATCTACAGTGTGAAATATATCCTGATTAGTTACTCATCTACAGAAAACAGTATTACTTTATCTCAAATTATCATGTTGTTGGTTTTTTATGCATATATATTTGTGCCTTTGTAAGTTTATGTACATCATATGTATGCAAGAGCTCTTGGGATCCAAAGATGGTATCTGAGTCCCTAGAATTGGAGTTATGTGATATGGAGTGCCCTTCTGTATTCTGTAAATATGTCTTATTACCATTGGTTAAAAAGAAACTGATTTGGCCAATAGCCAGGTAAAATATAGCTAGGTGGGAAATCTAAGCAGAGAAATAGAAAGAAGATAGGGTAAGGGGAGACACCAGCAGCTACTAGAGAAGAAAGATGTGAAGTAACAAGCTATGAGTCTTGTGGTAAAATATAAATTAATAGAAATGGGTTGATTTAAGTTTTAAGAGCTAGTTTATAATAAGCCTGAGCTATTAGGTCAAACAGTTTGTAATTAATATTAATCCTCAGAGTGGTTATTCAGGAAATGGAGGGCATGAGAGAAGCCTGCAGTTACAGACATGGGCAATTGAGAGCCACAATTTGGGTGCTAGAGACTTGTCCAGAAGCTTTATTGATCTCAATTAATTTTTTAGCAAAAAATCAGAAAAGTGTAACAAAGAGTCACTTTATGTATATAAAGTAACACATTGCAACAAGGACTGGCATTTATAATAACTGTGTGGGTGATGACTTATACTAACAACCCATTCAAATACAGTCTTTCAATTCTCAAAATAAATTTGTAATGATTCATCCATTTATTTTTTTTTAAAAAAAAGAGGTTGCTAACATTTTAGTTTTTAGTTTTAGAATAATAAAACTTACCTCTTCTTTTTGCTTCGTAAGGTAAGTCAAGGTCTGACCTTGGGTTGGTGCAGATTAACTTTTCCTGATGGGCAGGATCAGCTAATTCAAGCTGAGCATCCTGGAGCATATGAAAGGTATGGAAGAGCAATTTTATTTTCATGTCTCAACCGATGGAGCATATGTACAACTTAAATGTTATGTGTCATCTTAGTTTTTCCAGATTGCAGAGTTTTCAGTTACCCTGAAATTTAACTTAATGAAATATATCAAGTCAGCTTTAAACTGACTCCAATGTGTTTGCCTCCAAGCAATTTTTAAAAATAATCTATTTTGAGCATGTGTGATTTTTCAATGGCAAGTATGGTCAGCTGTGTTAGCCAACTTTCTAATTCCTTAACGAGACTGAAAGAAAGGTGGTTTATAAATGACTGTAAATGGCTAAGATTGTATGCATTTCTGTGAAGGGTAAAACATTAAAACTAGTTGATGGATATTCTTAAATGGGAGGATGCTTGAACTTAGTTTTTAGCAATACGACTTCTGCTATCGTAGTTCACTGTTAGTTGTTGTGGCTTTACAAGTAGTAGTCTTGACTTTAGAGCGGTTTTAACTGTCGGGGCCCATAGAACTGCTTACTTAGCATCTTGAATCTATTTTTCTGTTGTGTGGTCTTGTTTTGGTCTAAATACTCCAACATTCAATTGCTATTTTAAACAGTCTCTCTCAAAAAGTCCGTTGGCAAATGTTTTCATGATTTGTTCTATCCCATCACTTTAGATCATTCAATTTATTAAACTTGTTTTTGATACTCATTAATTTACATTTCATTATATGCATGTGTATATATGTTTATACATGTGTGTGCTCCAATGGGCATTTCCAGGTTTAAATCTTCGAAGGCAAATGCTTATATAGACTATGTAAAGACATATGCCAAGCTTAAGGAATTTCACTTTACTTTGAAAAACTAAAAAGAGTTAGACATTTAAATTTGAGCTTTAAGTGAAGTACAGGTATTCCTTTCTTGTTTTAATTTAGATGTTTCCTTTATAATATGAATACAAATAAAATTATTTTATTCTTTATGAATATGTGAAAAAGTTACTTCTGTTACGATTTAGAAAATCTTATTGCCTCACTTAAAATTTTTCTTCGTCTTTTTTTCTCCAAACTGTCTTATTGATTTTTTTTCAATATTATCTATTATAGAAAGTATAAAATTCAGACTGAGAGTGTAGCTAGGTAGTAGAGCATCTCCTCAGCATAGACAAGAACCTAAATTCCATTCGCAGCAAACAGTGGGGGAAAATCAACAAAAAACTTAAAACAAGGTGGCACGCCCTATAATTTCAACACTTGTCATTAGGATCAGAGGTTCAAGGTCATCCTCTGATGTGGGATTCCCCTCTGTGTGCTGTGAGTACCATTGCTTAATAAAGAAGTTGTTTGGGGCCTGTGATAGGGCAGCGTAGAGCTAGGTGGAGAAGACTGAACTGAATGCTGGGAGAAAGAAGGCAGAGTCAGGGAGAAGCTAGCTAGCCCTGCCAGAGACAGACGTGGGTAAGCCACAACCACGTGCTGATACACAGATTAATGAAGATGGGTTAGTTTAGAATATAAGAGCAAGCTAGAAGTACGGTTAAGCCATTGGCCAAACAATATTGCAAATAATATAGTTTCTTTGTAGTTATTTTGGGTCCAAGCAGCCGGGAACAAACAAGTGACCTCCTACAACAATCCTTAGCTACATAGTAAGTTAGAATCAAAATTTCGTCTTTTTTTTTAACTTCAGTTCATTTTTGTTGATGTACAAATGAATGAGTTTCCCTATCAAATATTTTTAATGTGTTTTTTCCAGCTACCTGACACCAGTAACATCATGGTGCCGAAGACTCACCCAGACTAGTATAAGACAGGCGCCCAAACAGCTGTCACCTGTTCTCAGAGAAAACTGGTATTTATATTTCTTGTAAACTTAATCTGTGAGTAAGAGCCAATTAGTACTTAAAAATTAGTATCAAGGTATGATGGCTTGGATAAAAATGTCCCCCATAGGCTCATATATGTGAGTACTTAGTCACTAGGGAGTGGCACTATTTGAAAGGATTATAAGGATTAGGAGGCATGGGGCCTTGTTGAGGAAGTGTGTCACTAGGGGATGGACATACTAGGCCCAGCCTTTCTCTCTGCCATGCTCCCTGCCATGATGACAATAGACTAATCCTCTGAAGCTGTAAGTAAGCCCCAGATTAAACTCTTTCTCAAGAGTTGCCTTGTCTCTTCACAGCAATACAGTGACTAACACAAGGGCTGGTAAGATGGCTCAGTAAGTCAATGTTTACTGCTTAGCCTGATGACCTAAGTTCAGTCCTCAGAGCCCATGTAAAACCAGAATTGTCCTCTGACTGCGCTCACACACACATACACACATAGAGTGAATAAATAAAGGTTAAAAACAATATTTTTTTAAGTAGTAAATGGAAAACCTTGAACCTTTTTTTGCCCAAGAAAACCTTTTGTTTTAAACATATTTAACAAAATCTTTTTCATACTATAAGCTTGAAAACAACTTTTTTCTTAAAAAAAATTTACTGTTTCAAATCTGATGTACAGAAAACTCTACATTGAAAATTTATGTCAAAATGAGTGGCTCTTTATATATGATATTAAATTTTTGTGGAGAATTCAGTATTAAAGGAAATATAATACTGAGTAGCATAAGCTTTTTTTAAAAATTGACTTTTAAATAATTTCTGTTTAGTTAATTCTTGTCCTAAATTAATAAGCGCATTAGAAAGTAAAGCAAGTAGTATTTTTAGATCCTCAGGAGAATGGGCCAGGGCTCCACAGGAGTGTCTCAGGACATCAGACTTTGGGAGTCGTCAGGAGCAGAGACAGAAAGGAACGTTCAGGAGAAAACTCAGCAACTGAGAGTAACTGGCTGCTCTTTCAAAGGACGCGGGTTCCATTTCCATCACCCTTGTGGCAGCTTCCAGCCCTCGTTAGCTCCAGTTCACGGGATCTGACATCCTCTTCTGGCCACCCCAGGCACCAGGCATGCATGTGGTACACAGATTGACATGCAAGGAAACACACATACACATTAAGTATAGAACAGGGTCTTTTGACCTGTGGAGACAGTGAGAAGACAGTTTGTCAGGAGCAGGTAGTATTTGCTAGGATATACTATGTTTTGATGAATTGAGATGGATCCTATAATAGATAAAGAAGGTCACATGGATGAACACAAGTTCATAAATGTAAAACCAGGTGGAAGGTCATTGATACTCTTAATGTCACTAAGTAAAAAATCTCAGTGTACTGGAAAAGAATACCAAGAACAATTTAGGAACGTATTTTTTCAGATTTATTTTCATTTGTGTGTGTGTGTGCATGCGCACACATGAGTGCAGGTCAGCCTGAGGAAGCCAGAGGCCTGGAATTTCCTGGAGCACTAACAGCAGCTCTCAGAACCAAACTCAGGTCTTCTGCAAGAGCTGGCTGTGTACTTAGCCGTCTCTGCAGCCCCAGGAACCATCTTTGATAACCCCGTTCTGCGACCAGATCCAGGGCATTGTGTGTATTAGGGAAGGACTCTACTGCTGAGCCTAATGTATGACCTTTCTAAAAGGAAGTTTAAGGTGACTTAGCAGAATGTAGCAGGATAATGTGTGCGCGCACACAGCCTGATTTAAAGTCTGTGCCTGAGTGAATACTTGTTAGAATAAATCAATGAAAACAGTAGGTGTGATTTTTTAGTGTGCTGACCTTCTCAGGATCCGACTTTGCAGATGCCTCATCCTTCAACTCCCACCTGTTTCAGAGCAGGAAAGTGGCTCAAAGCAGCTGGGAAGGAGGGAAGTTGCATATGATTATAAAACTGATCACTAACCACTGCTTAAGTTATAACTGGTTTTGTTTTTTATTAAATGTTTTGTTTACATCAAAACTTAACAAGGGTGATGTTGGCATTCTAAGAAATGAAGTCTGAAGCCAGGCAGTGGTGGTGCATGCCTTTAATCCCAGCACTTAGAGGCAGAGCCCAGCAGATCCTGATGAGTTTGAGGTCAGCTAGGTCTACATAATCAGTTCCAGGCCGTCCGAAGACAACACAGTGAGACCTTGTCTCAGAAAACCAAAGTGAAAGTTAAGTTGGTGATAGCAGTTGTGGGTGAAAGCAGTGAGGAACAGCTGTGACCCCCAAGACATCCCCCTCACCCCCATCCTCTGCCTTGTCAAAAACAAGAGTGTGGTTGAAGGAAGAAACGATCGCACATTAAATAGCTTTCTAAAGTATAGTTCGGTATTTTTTCTACCTTGCCATCATTAGTTTATTGGTTCAACTTCTTAGTAACTTGAGTAAATCACCATTTCTAGATAAATGTCCTTATTAACTTTCCAGAGGTGATCATTATAGTATTGTATAGTGTTCTGGCTTGGTGGGGAAAAACAAGGTAGAACATTCACATAGGGGGCTCTGCTAGAGTGTTATAGTCAGCCCTCATACATGCTGCCTCCTGGCTTTTTCTGTCACGTGTGGTAAGAGCTCATGTTCCAATGTCATTCTTTATCTTTCATAGGTCTGTTGCTTCTGAGCTTGAGAAAATACAGAAATTTAACTGTATCCTTTAAGAGAATACAAAAGTATTCCATTTCAGTCTATTCTTTATGGCTGCACTTTATGACGGTTAGTTCATGCGTGCATGTGACTGAGTTTTGCTGAGTCAGACAATATCTAAAATATTTTCTTGTCATGAAATATTATGTTAACATTTATACTTTTATGTTTCAATTAAATAAGGAATGATGAACTAGGATTAAGATCTCTTTTGGAGACATTTCCTCTTATATAGTTATATAAATTATAACTGTTAAAAATCTATCAGTAACTTCTGTTATGAACCCTATTGTTCATCCAAATTTGTTTTCTCTTCATTTTTCTGCACAACTTAGAAGCAGTTCAGCTAGTCAGAGTCAGCTCTCCCCAATAGCTGCTCCTGCTGAGACAGCCTTGGCTAGGGATTTGGGGAATTTTGTAACTTTGGGAAGCTTCCTCAACCTTGTGAGATTCATATACTTCCTGGGCAGTGTGTATTTTATCCTCTTGGTTCTGTGAGCTCCCTCCTCCAGAAGGGACTTGTTCAGTTAGGAGAAAATAGTTATACAATCTTACTCAAATAATAAACTAGTTCTGCAAGAGAAGGCAAATTTCCTTTTACTCTACATTTTTGTTCATTAAAAATATGCAGCTTTCGTCCTGTTCTTGTTCCCTTTTTATTTGCTTAGCAAATTTAGGTTAAGAAATGTTATTGGGATTTTCTTTTCTTTCCTGCTAACCCTCCATCCAAACACAATCCCCACTCTCTGTACACTATGGCTGAGTTCCTCATCTCTAAGGGATGGACTCCATAAATTCTGAAGTCCAATGCGATCATGAATTCAATAGATAGTCCTTAAACTGAGAAATATTTTCATACCGAAGTCAGGTTTTCTTAAACTCAGATTGTATAATGAAAAATGTGGGGTAAAGCTCCTTAACTAAGAAACTCAGTGCTCCTGGAAAGCAGTGGTATCCTCCATTTTTCTGGCAAGAAAAATGAACAGTGTTCTGATGCCCGTATGTCAGGATCTTCAGAAACCCTGCTAGAAGCAACTAATAAAGAGAGTGTATCGGTAGCATTGAAAAGAACTTCTGAAATCCTTCAGGATATTGACTATCTCCTATCAAACTCTAGAAAGTGAAAAATGGAATTATTACAACAGTAAATCTTAAGGTTGCTTCATATTATTGGTATGAAATTGCTCGTAACCCAAGGAATTGCAAATGCTACTTCTGTAGAATGTGCAGAACTCATTTAACTTTGATTGTATTTTACCTAACTTGTAAATTTTAGTGTGTGTATGTATTTATATATATGTGCATTTTTAAAATAAAGAACTATTTTGAACTTTTGAACTCTTTCATTTTTCACATCAGATGTATAAGAAAAGTTATGTTCTGTCATTTTTACTCTTGTAATGTTAATTTCCAATTTTCTTTTTGAATGTGCAGAACTGTCCATTCGATCATTTGCTATGCAATCTCTCCTGGAGAGCTAATGTAGCAGATCTTCTTTCTCTTTCTCTGACAAGCGGTTCTTGTCACCGCTCTAAAGAGTACCGTGCACAGACGATGGAGTAAGTGAGAGGAAAATTTTATTGTAAGGAGAGGACAGTTAAGATTTGATAGAAAACTCTCCACAGCCACAGGCTACCTGCCATCCAAGAGCATGTGAGGCCTGAGGGCAAGCCTGCTGAGGAAGGGCAGGAGCAAGTCTGCAGGGTGGGCAATGGCTGACAAAAGGCAGATGCTGGAGGGTTGATTTAGGCTCTGAACAGGCTCTGATTGGCTGCGTATATATCAAAATGGAGTGAGAAAGTAAGGCTCAGTGAAGGGAGAACCTGCCGAACCTGAAAGAGTCGTTCGCAGTTTAGCTGGTGGTCCCAACCCCCTTGCTGTCACAACCATGGTAAGGAAGCCGAGATTCAGCTGTCTGGAGGGCAACAACCCATTAACTGTTGTTACATAAATATGAATGCATATATATCCCTAAATAAACACAGCCTACGCAGTCTGTATAATGTTACTTGTGTGTGTGTTTTCTGGGCTGACTGTGGTTTGAGGTAACCAATGCTCTTCCCCAGGGAAGACTTATTTCTCTGACTCTCAGTACTCCTTGGTTGCCTGTAATTCTGTATGTAGTGTTGAGGCCTCCTTGCCTTCCCATGAGTTTGAAAGAGAGCAAGGAGGTACGAATGAGAGGTCTTGGAGGGAGGGAAGGGAAAGGAGAAATGATGCATTATCTCAAAAAAAATAAGAGATAACTTTAAAAACCTATCCACTGACTTGACTGAAAACCAGGAATCACTCCCACCTCTGTCAGAACTATATTTTTAAAAAGCAAACTGTATTTCAAAATCTAAACAATCCTGTTGCAACCTATTGATACAGTCTATGGGGTCTGGATCAGGTTTGTTTTCTTTGTTAAAAGACAGAGGACATCTGAAGGTCAACAGGGAGCAGCTGAGCCATCGCTGCCCCAGAATTGCAATTGAAGGAAAACATTCGCTGGGGGTGAGGAAACACAGGCTGCTAACCCCGGAGAAGGGGGGGGAGGGGGCTGGAAGTCCAGCCTCTTGAGGGCTGGGGGTTTTAAAGCCTCTGAAGAGCCTCCCCTCCTTAGGTTTGGTCAGTTTGGAGACCGGATGGTAGATTGATCCTAACTGTTCTGGGCCTCATCTAGCCTTGAATTTGGGCCAGTCCATCAGCCAGGGACCTGCTGGTGGGAAACAAAAACGGCCAGGTTTTTGTTTTAAGTCAGGAGATTGAGGAAGAAGCTGGCCATCTGGTCAATTTGCCACCTTTCTTACCCGGGCATGGCCCCTTTCCCTATCTGTCTGCCTCCCAGGGAGTCTACCTCCTTATCTCAGAACTCTTAATATTAGAAGGCAGGAAACCGGAGACAAGAACAAAAGGGAAGGAGTGTAGTGGATCAGGAATAATAGTGTCCCTTTATAGCTGCTCTCTGGGTTTGTTCCCTTTTCTGGTCTCTAGCAAAAGTTTCTGTCTACAGTCCTCCCAACAACCTCACTAAAGTCAGCCCCTCCCAAATCAGATATACCATCCTGTTTGTTTCCGTAACAGCATTTATCCGTATCTGTCCAGTGTGTTTCCTTGTGGTCAGTACCCTCCAGTGAACAAGCTCCATAGTTAATCTGAAACTATACTGTAACCTGGCACAACAAAAGTATCCAGTATGTGTTGTATGGATGAATTGCTGCCTTCAGCCAGTAGGCTTCCAGGAAGCCTAAACTGTATGGCACACAGACCAACCATACTGCCAGAAGGGCCATATCCCTAATTCTAAAGCAGTATAAATCAAAGTTCAGGTTGACGATTTTTCAGGGTGTGTGGGTTGACCAGGAGTTTGCTTGATATTGAAGATTCCAACTGTCATGAATATTGCTAGTCTCGCTTTCCATCCTGATACTTGTTTTGAGGAAGTTAGAGGTAAAGGATGTCTCTCCTGGCATCTTTGGGCTGTTTCACACCAGATGTTTCCTTGTGCTAAGACAGCACCTGCATCAGCAAGGCAATAAGAGTATATATAGTCACCATTTCAGAAGGGCGATTTGAGTTCAGTCTTTTGTTTCTAACGGGTTAGTGTCATGATTGTTCTTGACTGTCCTAAGACCAGCCTCAGCCGCCGCTACCAGTTCTAGCAAATCCCCAAGGGGGCGGTGGAGCACTGCGGTGCGTCAGGTCTGAGAGCTATGCATCGCTAGCCCCGCGGTATCCACTGAAGGAAGTTAGAAACTTCTGTGCCTTTGAGACCCAGACCCATTGCCCATTGCGCGTTCTGCACCGCGTGAGGTGACTTTTCCGTCCCGGCTGTCCGCCTCCACTTGGGTGCATCGAGGTGGGTGATTCGACGCCCGCTAAGCCAAGAAACCGACGGGACGTTTTCCACATCTCTCCCGGGTTTTGGAGGCGTGTAGAACTCACGGCATCCACCAGATTAACCTGCGAGCGCCAGGAGCCGCTCCGAGAGGAGCCTGCATCCCGGCGTCCGCAGGGACCCAGAGGACTCGGCCGCTCCGGCCGGCGCCTGCGTCTCTATGGTGCGGCCGAGGGGCGGAGCGCCGTTGGCTCGCCCGCAGACTGCGAAGCGAGCTGGGTATGGCTGAGCCGCGACCGGACGGGCGGGGAGGGACGGGGAGAGGGCGCAGCATTCAAAGTGAGGCCGGAGCGGAACGGAGCCGAGGCAGTCCGGGGTCGGGGCTGCGGGCTGGGAGGGCGGGTTCCCCGTCTCCGCGAGCCGCACACCTACCTCCTCCTCCCCCTTTCATCCTCCGGATCGCTTGGGTGTTGCTTTCCTGGGCTCAGTGCTTTTCCCAGTCCGAGCAAGGAGCCCGTAGGCGTCCCGGCAGAAGAGCCCACTGCCACCCTTACTTCTGTAGAAGAGCTCTGAGCGCCCTGAGTTAGCTAAGCCTCCAAGTACTAAGACTTCCTGCCCCCGTCTGACGTTCTAAAACTTACTAGATCACACGGACCTCAGACAAGGATGACTTCAGAAATTTGCTGAGATCAGAAACATGTTGGAACGCATACTTGTGTGTTCTAGTTGTAGTCGTTACAAGAGCTAAGTATTTTACGTGCAGAGAGAGAGCAGAGGGCCTGAGATAGATAAGTCACGGTAAAGTGAACAAGATTTGTGTTCATTTGCTTTATTAATTACCAGCATTAGATTTGTCATCTGCTTTTGGTATTTTATACTTAAGAGTTTAAATGTGTTAACTTTTACAGCAACTATAGTTCAGTGACGAGAGCATTATTTGTAAAGCTCAATAAAAAGGCAGCTTGGGGCAGGGCATGTTTTTGTTTCTTTGTTTGTTGTGATAATTTTGTTTGGTTGTTTGGTTCTTGAGACGTGGTCTCACTATGTCCTCCGTGTTGGTCTTGGAATCCCTGAACTCAAGTGACTTTTTTGCTTCAGCCTCCTGAGTGCTGGGGCTACAGGCCTAGCAACCCCAGCTCTTGGTTTTGTGCTTTTCTGCCAAGGTTAGGGGGAGGGAGGAAATGAAAAAGAAACTGACATTTATGTTGGGCGTGTCTTATTTATTTGCACAGAAATTTATGATTGGTAGCAAAAAAAAAATCCTCATATTCTATACTTTAAAAGACCAGGGCGGTGGTGGCGCATGCCTTTAATCCCAGCACTCAGGAGGCAGGTGGATCTCTGTGAGTTCGAGGCCAGCCTGGACTACAAGAGCTAGTTCCAGGACAGGCTCGAAAGCTACAGAGAAACCCTGTCTCAAAAAAACGGAAAAAAAAAAAAACAGCTAATATGTGGGAAGGGAGATGACCATTTTTGCTTGCTGGGAAGTCCCCACAATTGGTGACATTTGCTGTGATGAGGGTGAAATGGGACAAACTTAGGCCATTGTTAAAAAAAAAAAAATGAAGTCACATAAAAATTAGATGATTGGCTCTTATGGTAGAAAAGTCACCCCAATATTCACCACCTCTATGAATATTGAGCTTATCAGCTGAGAACCAGTGTGTGCCTAGGTGGAGCGTGCTGCCGACCTTTCTGAGGTCCTGGGTCAAATCCCTTTTGATATACATACCAATTAACATTAATAAAACATTGTGTGGTATCTGAAATACAATTTGTAGTATAACAAAAGCATTTTTCCACTTTTTACATGGATACTAATGCTGGAACTTGGGTCTCCAGGCTTGTGCAACAAACACATTTTCTCACTGAGACGTGCTACCAGTCTGAAGTGTTCTCATATTAAGGATGGTATAACAGATGTTTATTTTCTTCATTTTTTCAAAGACAGAGTATCCCCTGGCTAGCCTCAAACTGTGTAGACCAGGTTGGCCTCTAACTCTTAGAGGTTCACCTGCTTTGACCTCCCAAGTGCTGGGATTAAAGGCGTGTGCCACCAACACACAGCTGAATTGTTTTTTTCTTTTTAATCCCAGTATATGTTTGTCTCTTTAAGACAGAGCTCTTAAAATTCAGGGCTGTTGCCAAGGTGCCATAACTTAGCTGTGTTTGGAATTTTATAGTTGTGGTTGTTTCCTTGGAGCTCTGTGTTACTCCATAGTAACACCCTTAAAGTGAATGAGACCCGTTTCTTTGGCAAATAACTTTATTATTGAGACAGGATCTTTCTCTGTAGCCATGGCTAGCCTGGACCTTTCTATGTAGAACAGGCTGGCCTTGAACCCACAAAGATCCACATGCCTCTACCTCCCAAGCGCTGGGATTACCAGCATGAGCTAACACACTCATCATTGCAAATAATGGGGGGGAGGGTTAAGAAAAGAAAAAAACTGGAAGGATTTTCTCTTTGAGGGAATTATTTTATGTTTCAATGCCCTTTTTTTTGTTTGTTTGTTTGTTCTTTTCTTTCTCTCAGGGCCTTGGGAAAACTTGAAGTGTTCCTATTTACTAGACTTGTCTTTAGAAGCACCCATATTCTATGCATTGCTTCTACTGATTTGAATTAGGTGATGTTTTTTCTTCTCTATAATCTCGTTTTTCCCCACCAAAAAGCTGCTAATTTTAAAACCATTGCACTAACTTTATCTTACATCTTTGTTGCAATATAATTGATACATAAATTAAATCTAAATACTTAAAGTACACAATCCAGCATATTTTGACATATGTATGAAACTATCACAAGAAGCTGACTGTAAAAATCATCCGAGAACTTTTCTTTGCTTTTCAGCCCTCCCTGCATTCCCCATCCAGTCAGCCACTGATCTGCTTTTTCTCAGTATCAATTAGGTTGCATTTTTCTGAAATTTTCCTAGATTCTCTTTTAAAATATGTCTAAGTGAAAATGTCAACCATACAGAAAAGTAGAAGACAGTGTGAGGAGCTGTAGTCTCTTTGTCCATACAAGAGGCTGGTTAAGAGCCCCGGCCGCTGCTCTTGCAGGGGACCCAGGTTCAACTCCCGGCACCCATATGGCAGCTCACTGGTCTGTGAGAGATCCCATACCCTTTTCTGAGCTCTGCAAGTACCGCATGCAGGTGGTGCGCATTCACAAGTACCACATGCAGGTGGTGCGCATTCACAACGCATGCAAATACCCACACAAGTAAAACAGAAAATGGAAAAACCAAATGTGACATGGCATTGAAACATTTGACAAACGGACGGATTATTTCAGTCCCCTGTGCCAGGTTAGAATGTTATGCTTGCCTTTTCACACAAGCTGAAATCCCAGGGTTTGTTGCTGTTATTCCAGGCCGTAGATAAAGGGGGTGTTTGCTGGGGAGATGTCAGAGCAGCTCGTAGAAGTAAAGGATGTGCTGCAGAAACTGGGGCACCTTTGAAAACCTTCCATGTGGAGCCAAGGACTTGATGTCTTCATTATTAGCTTTTTGTCTTTGTGTCTCTTTGAGATTTTTTTTTTTTTAAGATAAGGTCTCTTGAACTGGAGATTGGACTCAGCGATTGACTGCTCTTCCAGAAATCCGGGTTCAGTTCCCAACACCCATATGGCAGCTTACAACTATCTGTAATTCCAGCTCCAGGGGACCCGACACCCATGACAAAACACATAAAATAAAAATAAATAAATTTTTTAAAAAAGAGACAAGGTCTCTCCGTGTAGACCAGGCTGGCCCGGAACTCACAGGGACCCATCTGTCCCTGCCTGCAGAATGCTGGGATGAAGGGCTTCTCTAGGATTTTCTTGTCCTCAGTTTTGTGTCTTGGAAGCTGTAGCCCCCAAGAGTACCATTCCACATCAGTTTTGCATAGGAAAAGGAAGCTGGTGGGCTTAGCTTGGACAACCCTTACCACTACCTTAGAGGTAGGGAACTCTAATTGTACAGCTCTGGAGTTGAGATACCATGAGGACAGGTAGTTCTACCAAAGGGAGGAGACACATGTTTTTTAAAAAAAAGATTTAGGTATTTATTTTATCTGTATATGTATGTGCCAAGTGTAAGCATATGCACTCTGTGCATGCTAGAAGCCAGAAGAGGGTATCAGGTCCCCTAGTGCAAGAACTGCAGGCAGTTGTGAGTAGCCCATTGTGGGTGTGCCAGGTCCTCTGAAAGAGCAGTGATGTTACACTGAGCCAGCTCTCCAGTCCTGAAAGCAGACCTTTTTTTTTCTTCAAAAGTATAGAAACAATTGGTGGGTTTACAGATACAATGAATGCCCACTGGCATTCCGTACACATTCCGACAGAAGTATTTAAATGCTTAGCAGGAATCAGTAACATACAATGGACTTTCTGAAGTTCTCCTTGCTACCACATAAACTGTTTTTTTCTTGCAAAACAGACTTACTGTGTTTGACCACACAGCCCATCGTGTACCACTTAAGGGATGCTAATTTTCCCAATTTGGTTTTATAATTATGGCTGATGTTGCTTGCTTGACTATTGTGTGGCAGATTGTAATCTTTCTAATGTTTGTCTTTGTTTTCTGCTTTAGGACACCAGGGATGAAGACAAGAATAGGCTGTTGGTCCCCGATGACTGTTGCTGTATACTGACACAGTTTATGATGGCCTCCAAAGTTGAAAAGACTCAGGCTTTACCACAGTGTTTCAGCGCCGAGTCTCTCATCTCCAGCCTCGGCCTGGGCATCTTTTGCCTAGTAGCTGACAGACTTCTCCGGTTTTCCGTAATTCACCAAAACGATTGGCTTCGCGCCCTCTCAGATAACATAGTACATGGTGTGATTGGCATGTGGTCATGGGCAGTCGTCACTGGAATCAAGAAGAAGGCTGACTTTGGAGAGGTTCTTTTAGCTGGGTTTTTAGCCTCTGTTATTGATATCGACCATTTTTTTCTCGCTAGATCCCTATCTTTAAAGGTAAGACATCAACGTAGTTTTCTTTAATGTCTTTAGTACCGCCACACTGGTCTTCTTGACTATCTTATGCTAGGGAAAATGTCTTACTTTAAAATAGGAAAGCTAACTCATTCGGCTTTTTTGAGTATCTACTATTTCGCTAAGGATGCCCACAGACATGTTCCTAATTGGATTTGCCATCGCAAAGTTCCATATAGACATAAAGTAAGAACTCTTCACGTATTAACTGTACCGAGGAGCTCGGTGCTGCCTCACAGAGACTACATTAGCAAGCTCAAAGGAACAACTTTTCATTCTGAGTGTTCCTGGGTCAGTGTTCTTTTGTCCAGGACCACACTTACCTTTCTCCTCTTACTCTTTATGTCTTCTTGTTTGTGTTCATCTCCTATGTGTGACATTAATAGATATCATATTTTTTAACTATCAAAAGATTTGCCTGCCTTTGTATATGCATATGATTTACAAACATCTCAGAAAAGAAGTGTAGATTCAAAGCAAGGATTTTACCTTGTGAGCCACTGGCCTGGGAGGTTACCTGGCCCACCCAGGAGGTATTCAGTAAATATTTGCTGAGGGGTGAGTGAAGCCTCACTTCCTCCTGCCTGTCACATACAAAGTGTGCAGCAGGGTCACCTGACTCTGAAGCTCAGTCGGGAAGGAGGGATGACTGCTGATTCAAGATAAATTTTAGCTTTTTGTCCTGTGTGTGCAGGCCACAAAGGAAAAGGATCTCTTCCCTCAGCTTTAGCATAGGGAATAATAAAATAATAACTTGAGATAATCTTTCAGTGTTAGTAGTAAATTCTGAAAGGATTTGTGGCTTTTATGAAACAGTTATAATAAAAATTATTCTCCCTTTTCCCTGCTTTAATGAAGGAATATTTTATTGTTGTTGCTGCTGCTGTGTGTGTGTGTATATATACTCTTAGATGTCTCAAGAAGTTGTTTAGAAACACAAATTATAGAACAGGAAGGGATGAAGCGAGGATGAGCCACAGGTTCAGGGGTGAGGCTGGACAGAAGGAAAAACTACTAATGCCTACAGCACTGTAGCTTACAGCTCATCTCTGCTTCAGAACCGCAGAAGAGGAACTGTATTCTCAACACAAGAACTGATAACTATTGAAGTCTTAGCTATTCCACTTACTCTATAACAACCAGCGCACATTATATGCTTGTAGGAAATGTCACGTTGTCCTTCTTAAACATGTGCAAATACTATTTGTCAATTAGAAGCTTTAAGATAGGGCTGGAGAGATGGCTCAGTGGTCAGGAGCACCCATTGCTCTTCCCAAGGACCTGCTTCAGTTCCCAGCCCCCGTATGGCAGCCTACAACTGCCTGTAACTCCAGCTCCAGGGAATTCAGTGACCTCTTCTGGCCTCAAGGTCAACTGCATGCTTATACACATACCTACACACAGATACACATATGAAAAATTTAACAACCTCAGGGAGAAAGCAACATTAAAATAGGGCTGGTAAGATGGCTCAGCAAGTGAATATATACGTAAATAAATAGGAGTGCTTTTAGTTTTAAATATCATTTGAACCCCAATTACACAAATCCCATACTTAGGATATAAATTATGTTTGTGGCTTTTTAAACAACCACTGGGAAACTTGTAAAATTAATACAATATTCCTTTTATTAAAAAGATTTGTTATGTATACAATGTTCTGTTTGCATGTTTGCCTGCACATGTGAAGAGAGCATCAGATCTCATTATAAATGGTTACAAGCTGCCATGTGGTTGCTGGGAACTGAACTCAGGACCTCTGGAAGATCAGCCAGTGCTCTTAACTTCTGAGCCATCTCTCCAGTCCCAATTCCACATTCTTAAGACCTCCATTTTATTGTTGATGCAAAGGATATAGTGGTCATGCTTTCATCATCTCATATTTTTTTTAAGTTAAAAATTTAGCTTTAGTGTAGAATAGCATAGAGTGAGAAGAGAAACACCGGCCTGGAAACCGCGTGTCATATTTTTCTGGCGTTTCCGGTTGACGCTGGGCGTGTTAAAATAGTAAGGAGCAGCTGTGAGATTTTGCAAAGAAGGAAATGATGCTAGCTGCTACTTCTCGCCGCAGGCCGCTTTGACACTTCCGAGAAGACCTTTCCTCCACTGCTCCACCGTGATACCCGTGGCAGTTGTGAGCCTGAAGCTGGCCATGCACCTTTTCAGGTTCCGGGACTCGTGGTGCTTCCTCCCGTGGATGCTGTTCATTTCCTGGGCTTCGCACCATATCCGAGATGGAATTCGTCACGGCCTGTGGATATGCCCATTTGGAAAAACTTCTCCTTTGCCCTTCTGGCTTTATGTGACAACCACATTATCCTTACCACATCTGTGTTCATTCCTTATGTATTTAACAGGGACCAGACAAACGATATCTTCAAAACATGGGATGCGTGTTGATATCTGAGATGACCATATGCCTTTAAGGAAAGGCAATAGCTCAGATGACGATAATGAAAGACAGCAAGTGTTCAACTGAAATTTTGCTTTTGTTTTTGAGACCGGGTTTCTCTGTACAGCCCCAGCTGTCTTGGAACTCCCTCTGTAGACCAGGCCAGCCTCAAATTCAGAGATCCACCTGTTCCTGCCTCCTGAGTGTTGGGATTAAAGGCATGGGTCATCACTGCCGGGCCTCAAGTGAAATTTTAAAACACAGTTAGGTACTTTATTTAGCTTTTACAATTCTCGGGCTCTCTTGCTCAGGAGACAGGCTCAGTGCTTGCCCTTCCCTCTTCTGCGACTATCTAGTGCAGCAGGGTTTGTCCTTATTTCGTGCTCTGTTATAATGCTGCTGCTTTGTCTGACGTTACTGGTTTTGTCAAGTTGATACCTATTGAGCTGTTTGGAAGTCTGTCTTCAAAACCAGTCCATTTCCTAATAAAAAAAAACTCCAAATTTTGGATGGCTAACTTATAAAAAGCTCACATGATATTTGAATTCACATTTTCCTGGGACACCAAAACAGTGAAGTGGACAAAATAAATAAAGTCATGATAAGATGTCTATTGAGGACTAACAATCATTTCACATGTGTTGACCCTGACAGAAGTAATAATTTTAAATGTTTGTGGACAGTAAGTATTGGCAAAAATCTAACTAAATAAAATCAAATCTAAGTTACAATTTCAGAAATCAATTTAGGAAGTAATTATTATCACATTGCCTATAATTACATTCACTGAAATTTATGGGAGGGAGGTTAGTGTCTTTGCCCAGAAATCTCATGTTAGCATTTTCACTAATTTGAAAAACATAACTAAATATTTAGAAAATATTTATTAACAAAGAGCTTTGACAAAACAATACCTGGATCACCACTGAACTTATATATAAAAACAGTACTGAGCAATGGTGTCATCTGAGATGCAGATTTGTGACGGCCACTAAAATTGCAATAGTTGTGTGATTGTGACAAACTAGTCTAAAATATTGTTAAAATGATTTTTTTTTAAATCTTCTCCTTACTGAGAACAAAAAGATTTTTCAAAATAAAATAGTTTTTGGAAATCTTGCTTTTTCCTTTGGTCTTCCGGGTTTGTTAAGATGATGAACTTTTACCAGAGAAGGAAGTACATCGCTGTAAATTTACATCCGTGGTTTGATATGCCCGTGGTCTTAATATCCTGCCCCAGAGACTCCCCTCTTTCTTTGTAGCATATATGAGTCCTATTTTCTTCAGAGTTGTTTTAACTTGTGACTTATACTGCTAGCAGTTGTGTGCCCTAGTCTCTGAGGAAACGTGGATGACTTAGAACACGATGTCATATCCTAACCAGGCTCTGCCTTTATAGAGTTCCCTACATTGTAGAAGGGTTCGTGATCTTTGGAGAGTATGTTTCTTATTGTTAAATTCTTTGCAATCTGTTACTTCATACAGCCTAGTTATTATACCCTATTTTCTTCCAAAAGCAACTGTCAATTTGGTTGATATGATAGTAAGTATTATATAAAGAATAAACTTAATTAAATTTATTTTTAAACATCTGGTTTAAATCCATGAAAATGAAGTCTATATAACATATATATTTTTCTAAATTGTAAAACCCTTTGTATTTTTCTCTCTCTTCATATTAAGCATAAGAACATAGTGAGCTCCAAGACAGCCAGAACTACATAAAGAGACCTTGTTTCAAAAAAAAAAAAAAAACAAAGAAAACCAAAAAAAAACAGCAACAAAAAAAGAGACCTTGCTTAAAAATGTCACCTTGACACTTTGAGGGTCATCTCACTTTCTATTGTTAGAGAGAAAATTCACTTTCGCCATCATTCCTTCCTTAAATAATAAAGACTTGGGATGGTTTGCCACATTTCCTACCTCCGTCCTCAGAAATAATATTTCCTTCTTTAATAAGTGTTGTTTGTGGCTCTGACCTCTCGGACCCTAACAGCCTGCAGCCACCCCTCCAAACTACCACTCTATTCTTGGTCCTACTGACAATGGACGTTTGTCAACTACCATTGTGTCGGAAGGCCGAGTTGCATCTTGTTGGCCTGCATCTCCTCCATCCTCTTCACGTCTTCTCTCCTCACTGGTCCCTCTTCCCAGGCTTCTCTTGAGCTCGTGAAGCTTCGGGGAAACGCCGCCACTGCAGCATCCGCTCATCCCCTCGTCTTGCCAACTGGCAGCAGATCAGATCTCAGACAGGACATGGTGAAAACTCTGACCCACAGCATGACTCGAAGAGAGAAGGCGGCACAGAACACAGACACACCCAACTCTTAATGGTTGGTGTTCTCCAGGGCCGGGGGTGTACGTCTGTGAGAGGGTATACCACACACACACACACACACACACACACACACACACACACACACACACGGTCTCTCTATGGACCCCAACCCAGGCTGGACTGGAATAGCAACTACTCCTACCTCAGCCTCTGAGTGTTGGAATAATAAGCTTGTAAAGCCATGCCTGGCTTGGACGTACTTTTTATACTGGGACTTTCAGTTGATAGACTTTGTCTCCTAAAGCTACAAAGCGATGACTAGAGTCATTCAGTCCTGCGCCCTCCCTTCAAATCAGACAAGCCCAGTGATAGTTGATCATACTTCTACACAAGTGTAAAGAATAATCTGAGTGCTCTGTGCCTTTTATATCCTGTTATAAATGAAGTGGCACTTTATTCCATATTATTTATATATATATATAAGATCTGAATATACAAAGTCTGATTTATAACAGAGCTATAAGGTTCACTGGGACCTTGCAAAATTTTATGACAACTAGGCAAACACTGGGATGATAAAATGATACTCAAGCTTCTGGGTATGAAGTTCTGTAAAAGCCTTTAGGTAAGGCTGTGCGGGACTTTACTATGATGGCCTTTTAAGTGTGAATAATTATGGAAGTCGTGGTGCATAGTAAATTCTCCCTCAAAGGGAAACTCATCAGCCTACCAATATTTAATATAATTGCGTCTATAAGCAGGTGATAAAATGGAAATACTATAAGCAGTCTGCCCACAAATTAAAAATCAGCAACGTCTTCCAACTTGATGGTTGGTGCTAGGGTCTCTTGTTGGTGGCTGGGTTAAGGCTCTGGCTGTGGGGTTCAGCTGCAGAGGGCAAACACCTGAGAAATGTGCCAGGGTCTTCCCTGAAGGCACAGCAGGGGCTCACTGGAAATGTACAGAACTGAAAACCATTGTGTGTACTCCATTGACAAACAGCATCCTTTGTTTTGTATAACATGTGCCCTCTCTGGATGTCAGTGTACATGAATGTAGGGCAGAGAGAAGGTACCACCTATGGCTTTCCTGGATGTGACAGGTTTCACAGTGAAACACATGCTGAACTTGATTCTGATGGAGTCTGCAGACGTGGCAAGAGGTGGATATGAATGTAGTTTTAAAATAAATTTAGAAATGCTGTGTGGTTGGGATACTTTTTACTTCTCAATTACACCGGGAAGGGCTTATCTCAAATATTGTATTACGTTACAGAAGTAATCATCTAAAGGAAAATCCCAAGGCATTCAATATAGTTAGTTAAAAATGCAAAATTAAAAGGTAGTCTTTGAATCCTTCCTGGTAGTTTTCTAAAAGATTAGTGATCCCCACTATTGGCGGCAGCTGCAGAGACCTCCTCATCACTGCCAGAGGGAACGTGCTACTAGATTAAAAAGTACAAGCCTCTGGGTAGAGACCCAGAAGTTCCAGTTCTAGGGAACTAGTTCTAAAGAGCTACACACAGAAGCACAGAGGAAAGGGGTGGCAGGTGATGACCTGAGAAGGCAAAAACCAAACCGGAACCTACATCACAGTCTTTGACTCTGTGATCACTAACCTAAATTAGTATGCACACCTTAAAATAAATTGCCTGCACATTTGAATAGTGAGCCAAATCAATACAGCCAATGCAAAATGTCTGTCTTAAGTCTTTAAAAATTAAAACAATCAGTAAGACGGTATGCGATCATTTTTGTAAAGCTTGCCTGGTGTGTGTGTGTGCATGCATGTGGAGAAAATAATTACTAAATCAAATAGTTAATGGTGATCATCTCTGGAGTTAGTAGGTCATGTGGGCCATGAGGAATGTCTACATATATGATGCTTAACAATAAACAAGTATGATTCTGTATTCTATATTCAGTAAAGGTGTTTTCATTTCCTACCGTAAGTGCAATTTTAGGCTATGGATGTTTGACCTGACCCCACCACCTGACTGCCCAAACTCAGACAGTGGAAAGACAGCTTTGATCAGTCCTTGTTCACCATTGGGTTCAATGCCTCAGCTGTGCACATACTTCTGTCATATTATTTAGTATACTATTTCATCAGACATTAGCAATATCCCATGGTGCCCCAAGGTAGGAAGTTCATGACAATTTCATTAATCTGAGAAATTCCTTTATTATTATCATTTATTTTCATATACAAAAAGATAAAACTTGAAGACCAGGCAAGGTGGCATGTGCCTTTAATCCCAGCACTTGGTAGACAGAGGCAGATGGATCTCTGTGAGTTCAAGGCCAGCCTCGTTGACATAGTTCCAGGCCAAATTTCAAGATAAAACTTGAAATAGTTAGAGATTTTCATCCTATTCTGTTGTGGGTGTGGCTGCATCTTCACACAGAAGGAAAGACTACACATGTATTTATCTGAGGCCCCAGCACAGAGTTCAGGCAGCAGAACTCCAACTTAGCAGATCTAATTTCAAATGACACTTGTTTCTGAAACCACCACAGAAAAGAGAGGAGCCAAGACCCGCTGATAGTAAGTGAACTATGACAGCGCTCTTCAAAAAGATATTTATCTTAATAATCAACTTCCACAGTTAAACTGCACTTCAAATAATTCAAAGCCTTGTCATAATTATACACTGGCCTTCCTCTCTCTCTCTCTCTCTCTCTCTCTCTCTCTCTCTCTCTCTCTCTTTCCAAGACAGAGTTTTTGGGGTTTTTTTTTTCTGGCTGTCCTGGAACTTGTTTTGTAGACCAGGCTGGCTTCGAACTCGCAGAAATCAGCCTGTCTCTGCCTCCTGAATGCTAGGATTAAAGGTGTGCGCCACCACCACCCGGCTCCCCTGGTATTTCTTTACTCCTCAGGAATAATGATCAGTGATGGAAAGGCC